CATCATCATCATCATCATCATCATCATCATCACATCATCAGCACATCATCATCATCATCAGCATCATCACCAGCATCAGCACAGCAGCAGCAGCCTGCAATCATCATCAGCATCATCATCATCATCATCATCACATCATGATCAGCATCATCATCATCAGCATCATCATCATCATCAGCATCATCATCATCAGCATCGTCATCATCGTCATCATCATCATCGTCATCATCATCATCATCATCATCATCATCATCAGCATCATCATCATCAGCATCATCATCATAATCATCATCACCATCAGCATCACCATCATCATCAGCATCATCACTATCACCATCACCACCATCACCACCATCATCATCATCATCATCATCATCATCAGCATCAGCAGCAGCATCAGCATCAGCATCAGCAGCATCATCCGCATCAGCATCATCAGCATCATCGTGATCGTCATCATCATCATCAGCATCATCATCAGCATCATCATCATAGTCAGCATCATCATCATCAGCAGCAGCATCATCATCAGCATCATCATCATCATAATCATCATCATCATCGTCATCATCATCATCATCAGCATCATCATCGTCATGATCATCATCCTCATCCTCATCATTATCCTCATCATCCTCATCATCATCATCAGCTGAATCATCATCATCAGCAGCAGCAGAAGCAGTATCATCAGCATCAGCATCATCATCATCCTCAGCAGCATCATCATCATCATCATCATCATCATCATCATCATCATCATCATCATCGTCATCGTCATCGTCATCATCATCATCAGCAGCAGCAGCAGCATCGTCGTCATAATCGTCATCATCATGATCATCAGCATCATCATCAACACCAGCAGCATCATCATCATCCTCTGGGGGGTTCTTGGATTGGGTGGGAGTGGATGGGGTCGGGGGATCGCGCCGCATCGCCGATGCATCGCCGATGCATCGTTGATGCATCGGCGATGCACCGGCGATGAGTCGTCGACGTGGGCGATGCATCGGCGAGGTCGACGTGAGGCAAATCGGGATGCACATCGAACCGCATCGGCGATGCATCGGCGATGCGGCGCGATCCTCCGAACTCATTTACTCCGACCCTCCAGGAGGCCTAGATCCTCCTCCTCCTCCTCCTCCTCCTCCCTCCTCCTCCTCCTCCCCTCCTCCTCGCCTCCCTCCTGCTCCTACCTCCTCCTCCTCCGCCTCCTCCTCCTCCTCCGCCTCCTCCTCCTCCTCCTCCTCCTCCTCCTCCTCCTCCTCTCCTCCTCCTCCTCCTCCTCCTCCTTCCCCCTCCCCCTCCCCCCCCCCCCCTCCCCTCCCCCTCCCCCTCCCCTCCTCCTCCCCTCCTCCTCCTCCTCCTCCTCCTCCTCCTCCTCCTCCTCCCCTCCTCCTCCTCCTCCTCCTCCTCCGCCTCCTCCTCCTCCTCCTCCTCCTCCGCCTCCGCCTCCGCCTCCGCCTCCGCCTCCGCCTCCGCCGCTCTCCTCCTCCTCCTCCCCTCCTCCTCCTCCTCCTCCTCCTCCTCCTCCTCCTCCTCCTCCTCCCTCGCTGCTCGTGGCCGAGAGGCCTAGGGTTGGGCGCCTTGGGGGGGGGAGCGATGCGCGCCCCCCTCGCTCGCTTGGCCCCTCCGCGCCGCCGTCGCCCGGCTGCTGCTGCAGCTCGAGCAGGCAGGCGCCGGGCCCGGTGAACGTGGTGGTGCCTGCAGGCCCGAGGGCCCTCGGGGGGGAGGGGGAGGAGGAGGAGGAGGAGGAGGAGGAGGAGGAGGAGGAGGAGGAGGAGGAGGAGGAGGAGGAGGAGGAGGAGAGGAGGAGAAGAGGAGGAGAAGAAGAGGAGAAGGAGAAGGAGGAGAGCGAGGAGAAGGAGAAAAACAAACACGTGTTGGATGATGGAAGGCAAGGGTCTGGCCGACCCGACCTAAACACGGAACCTTCGGTTCCAGGTCTTTGTCTCTTGCTGCAGCAGCCCTCCGCATACAGCTGACATCGGTGCCCAAAGGCCGCAAAGAGATGGCAGAGGCACGCGCATGCAAAGGCGCGTGCATTCACTTCCCCCTGAATCGAAGCCTCCAGAGGGTGCGGCAACAGGGGTGCCAGCTACGCGAGGAGGAAGAGGAGGAGGAGGTGGAGGAGGAAGAAAAGGTGGGAGGAGGATGTGGAAGGGGAGGAGGGGGAGGGACAGGAGGGGAGGGAGGAGGAGAAAAGGAGGAGGAGGAACAGAAGGAGGAGGAGGAGGAGGAGGCCAAGGAGGAGCAGGCGGTGGAGGAGGAGGCTCCAGAGAGACCAGATGTTTCAATCTCCACGGCTAGAGGCTCCCAGATGGAGAGGACCATGTCGAGGGAAGAAGTCAAAGTTCAACACCCTCTCAATCTGAACTCTCGGCACTGGCATCAGCACAAGCGGGGACGAGGGGCTCCTCGGCCTCGTCGTCCCCTTCGGGGAGCAGGACCTCCGCCACACGGCGGAGGACGGCGGCCTCGGGCCTTCTGCCTCCTGCCGCCGAACCAGCAGACGCCTGCAACTAGCGGAGGAGAAGGGCTGCCTCCGCTGTCGACAGCAGCGCGAGAGACTTGGCGCTCCTGCGGCCACCCTCCTCCCTCCTCCCTCCTCCCTCCTCCCTCCTCCCTCCTCCCTCCTCCCTCCTCCTGGGACACTGTGACAGGACCGCGCCCAAGAGATTTCCCCCGGAGCGAAGCTTACCCCGAGGAGGACCATCCAGAGCCTGGCCAGGAGGAGGGGCACAGCAATCCAGAGAGAGGGGAAAAACTGAATATTCCACGCACGCACACACACACACACACACACTTCCAGGCCGCGCGACCAGCTCCATCCGCCGAGCGGGCGCACAGCGGGGCAAGCTTGACGACTCTGCCACCGCCGCCGTGGTGATGGCGGTCCAAACAGGAGGAGAAGGAGGAAAAGTGAGAGGTCCGAGAGGAAGAGGAGGAGGAGGAGGAGGAGGAGGAGGAGGAGAAGGAGAAGGAATGTGTTCCCCAACCATCCTGTGGTGTTGGGTCCTCATTTTGAAGAGACGGTCACCGCGTTCCTCCTCCTCTTCTCCTCCCCCCCTCCTCCCTCCTCCCGTCACCCCGCTCACTTTGGCACACCCCTCACACGTTTCGTGGCCCCATATGGCCATAAGGAGCTCCACCGAAAGCCCCAGTAGGGGTGCCCGCACGCGTCCTCCCCAACCAGTGCAGCGCTTCGTGGCCCCATAGGGAGCTCCACCGAAGGCCCCAGTGGGGGTGCCAGCATGCGTCCGCCACACCCAGTACAGCGCTTCGTGGCCCCATAGGGAGCTCCACCGGAAGGCCCTGTGGGGGTGCCCGCATGGCTTCGTAGCCCCATACGGAGCTCCACCGAAGGTCCAAGTGCTACCGCCCGCATGCCCGCATGCGTCCCCCCCACCCAGTACAGCGTTTCGTGGCCCCGTAGGGAGCTCCACCGACGGCCCCAGTGCTACCGTCCGCATACGTCCCCCCCACCCAGTACAGCGTTTCGTGGCTCCATTGGGAGTTCCACCGAAGGCCCCGGTGCTACAATCCGCATGCGTCCCCCCCACCCAGTACAACGTCTCGTGGGCCCGTACGGAATTCCACCCACGGCCCCCGTGTTACCGCCCGTATGCGTCCAACCACCCAGTACAGCGTTTCGTGGCCCCGTACGGAGCTCCACCGACGGTCCCAGTGCTACTGCCCGCATGCGTCCGCCACACCCAGAAAAACGTTTCATGGCCCCATACGGAGATCCAACGAAGGTCCACGTGCTACCGCGCGCATGCGTCCCCCCCTCCTAGTACAGCGCTTCGTGGCCCCATGGGGAGATCCACCGACGGCCCAGTGCTACCGCCCGCATGCGTCCACCCCCCCCCCCAGTGCAGCGCTTCGTGGCCCCGTACGGAGCTCCACCGACGGCCCCAGTGCTACCGCCCGCATGCGTCTCCCCCCCCCCACCCCCAGTGCAGCGCTTCGTGGCCCATGGGGAGCTCCACCGAAGAAGATGCTCACAATTGTGGCATTCACAGCATACGGTTGGGTCCCTCGCCAGGATACTTGGTCAAGGGACGGGAGGGGGCGCAGCCTCGACGAGCAACGGGGGGTCCCTGCGGGGTGGGACAGTCCCGCCGACAGCGCAAAGCCCAGGTGATCCGCCGACCCTGTCGCCGTGTGTGCAGGGCTTGTCCGTTCGAGACGTCGTCTTCGTCATTCGTTCGTCGTCGTCTCTGTCGCCCCCTTTCCCTGCGCCCCCCCGTTCCCTGGGCCCGTCGCCGCTCCCCCCCTTTCCCTGGGCCCTCCTCCTCAAGCGCTGGGCCCGTCGCCGCTCCTCCCCCTTTCCCTACGCCTTCCTCCTCTAGCGCGCCAACCAGAGCGAAATTGAGCAACGTCGTTGTTGACTCGAATGGAAGCCCCTTCCCCTTGTTCCATCCCCCGCTGGGAAGGGGGGGGTCCTCGGGGGGGTCCTGGGGGGCTCCCGGGGGGAGGGGAGCCTGGAAGGGTCTGGGGGGGGTCCCAGTCAGATACGACTCCCCCCCGGGGGGTCTTGGGGTTCGAAAAAGCCCCAAGACGGGCCAAGATGGCCCCAAGAGGCCCCCAAGGCGGCAGTCCAAGAGAGCCCCGAATCGCGGAACAAGACGCCTCGACGACCTCTGGACGGCCCAATAGCCCTGCAAGACGCCCCAAGAAGCCTCCAGGAGCACTCCCAAGAGAAAAATGATTGATCTCCCATGGTTGTCTGACGAATTCCGGCGCTCCCGCCCACGACGCTCCAAGACGGCCCAAGAGGCCCCCCAGATCGCCCACAAACTGCCCAAGAGGGGTCCAGGTTGGACTCGAAGCTGCCCAAGAGGGCCCCAAGACGGCCCAAGACGACTCCGAGACGGCCCAAGAAGCCCCCAAGACAGCTCCAACTGTGCCCCGACGAGAGACCAGAACGGACATTTCGAGCCCTCAGCCCCGAGAGGCTCCCAGAAGGAACCAAGAGGCCCCAAAAGGCCCCGGGAAGCCCCCAAGAGGCTCCCACGAGGCTCCCAAAAGGCTCCCAAGAGGCCCCAAGAGCGCTTCGAACGGACCCCAGGAAGCATCCATGAGGACTCTGACCCACGTCAGCGTCGTCGTCGTCGTCGTCGCTGCCGCCATTGACGTCGTTCCCCATTCAGGGCCGGCGGCACCGGCCGTAAGGCCACCGCAATTTTTTCAGACCCCCACCAATGACAGTAGCTGAGCACGTTTGAAATCAACCCAGAGACAACCGCCAATGCCAGACGGAGAACATGTTTGACATAAGTCAAAGACACCACCAATGCCAGTCGCAGAAAGTGCTTGACAGATATCAAGGGACACCCACACAAGCTAGACGGACACCGTGTTTGAAATAAGTCAAAGACACAACCACATCCAGTATATGAGTATGTTTCGTAGATATCAGGGGACACCCACCATTGCCAGACGGAGAACATGCTTGGCATAGGACGGAAATGCAACCAATCCCAGAACCAGAGCACGCTTGCTATGTCAGCACCTGAAACCACAGCGTGGGCCGTATCACGAAGACCACGTACAGCATGACTCAGCGAACCCAGCACCGCAGAAAGTCCGTCACCACAAAGTCCTCCGCCAAGTGCATCAACGGCCGCAGAAACCTTGAGAATATCGCGACCACCATGTGCCCCGCCAAGCTCTGCAACAGGATGTGCATCACCACGTCGTCGCTATTATCGCACGTGCGAACGGGAAGAAGATCATCAGGGTCCACATGAAGATCAGGGCCACCATGAGGATCAGACTCGCCCCCACCATGCTCGTACATCATGCCATCTATGAAATCACTCTGGCCCCGTCGCTCCAGATCCATTGGCGAGAAAGCAAGACCAGCACCGTCACCAAACTTTCGCAGAACAACTTCAGCAGCGCCATGGCCACCAGGAAAAAATACAGGTACATCCGCATTCCGTGGGAACTCGGGGAACAGAGGAGCATCAGGAAGGGCAGTGGATGCAGCACCCTCGCCGAACGCCTGTTCCCGTGGCTTCTTCGCCAACGCGCCCCCATCGTGGCCACTGGCACCGCAACGATCGCCTCGACAACGAGCAGCGCCTCCTGGGTGATCTCCGCCGTCACCCCCCATCAGGGTCAGGGAGCCCATGTGCACCACCACGGTGACCCACAACCAGGGCCAGGAGGATCCCCAGCGCCAAGGGAGCGACCATCTCCAGGAGCAGCACGAAGACGAACCGATACATGAGTTTCCGGTGGCCAAAAAGTCCACTGCCACATGCTCAGGAGAGACCCAGCAGCATCGTGAACAAGACAATCAACATCCAATTCTTCATCCCAAGTCCACCGCAAGACGACTCTGCTCTCCCCCTACGTACGACCGTTACCATTATCCCGGGGGGGAGATATCGCCGGGTAAGGACAGTTATTCCACGCGCCAATAAACTAACAAACAGTTTTGGAGGAGTGAGTGAGGGAGGGAAGAGGAAGGAGGAAGGAGAAAAGAGGGAGGAGGAGTGAGGAGTTCAGGAGCACATCCTCTCTCCCTCGTTCATCTCTCCCTCCCCTCCCATTTTGCTCCACTCTCCCTTCCCTCATTCCTGACTCCCTCCCCCTTTCCTCCTCCCCCATTGTCCATCCTCCTCCCCCCCATTCCTCCCTCTATCCCACCTCCTTCCTCCCCAACCCTTCATTGCCTGTCTTGCTCCCTCCCTCCTTCCTCCTTCCTCCCTTCCCGCCCGTCACCATCCAGTAAGAGTCCAGCGTTAAGGAAGATCTTCCAGCAGATCTAGCAGATTCCCCCCAAGAGCCACTCACAGCTCCAACCATTCAGGACGGCACTATTCTTGCTGGAATCTGACTGTGGCGCTCCAGAGCTGGAGGAGAGCTCTCCAGAAAGACAATTGAGAACGGCCGAGCAACTCACACGCGCACTACGCCCCCCAAGTCTCCACTCTCAGGCTGCCACAAAACTGCTCACGAAACCAGATTGGACGGGGGCGGCTGGCGGCCCAGAACTCGATGCGTTCGCTCCCCCGAGCTTGCGCGCTGCATCCTAGGCGCCCCTGGCCCGTCGCCCGGGGCCACAGAGTTTTCAAAGCCCAGGCTGGAGTGACCCTGCGAGACGCGGAGCCTCACCCCCACCCGTCTGAAAGATCACGAACGCTCCCCACCGACGGTAATTCCTGGCCGTCGCAGTGATAGACAGGACGGGAATGATCTCATGGAAGCGTTGGCTCAGGACACGCCCCAATATTCCTAGGTATCTAGCGACCCTCGCTTCTGCAGCCCGAGCTGAACATTAGGGAATCCAGGGAATCTGGGAAATCCTGGAAATCCTGGAACGCATCCTATGATCTTACACAGAAGTCCTCGACACCTCTGGAAATCTTGGCCCCTCCGAATGCAGGACTCAACAACTGCGTGCATGCAAAGGTTCGGAGCTTCGAGCAAAACTCTTGGATCGGCGCTGGGCCCGCCTCCCTGGCGCGCGGAACGCGCCAGGAGGGCGGCGCGCGGAGAAGCCGCCAGGGGGGCCAGCGCAGATCCAGGAAAGCCGGAAAAAACTCCGAAAAGTCGCGTTTACGGAGCACGCCGCCAGTCGCGGGTAAGAAGGATGGGGTGGGTCGCAAAGGGGTCGCGCGTGGGTCACGTGCAGTTCGCGGGATGGGTCGCGGGGCGGGTCGCGGCTGGGTTGTGGGGTGGGTCGCGGGCGGGCCGCGGACGGGTCGGAACCTACCGGAACCTAACGTAGCGCCCCCGCCCCCTCCCAGACTGTGGTGACGGACGCACTGCGGCAGTGCCGGGGACGCACGGAGGGAAGAGCGCCACGTTCAGGGGGAGGGAAGGGGGGGGGGAGGGTAGGGGGCATAACACGCGTTATGGCCAGAGAATAAACAAAAAAAAAAAAAAAAAAAAAAAAACTCAAGCAGGAGCAGCCAGCAGACCCCTGGGCACCTGGGGGCGCTTCCAGGGGCGCTCCGTCCAGGTACACCTCCTGCCCGGCCTCCCCGAGCTGGGCCGCCCGCAGGTGGTGGGTGCCGAGGCCCGGCAGCTGGAACCTCCACCACAGCGCCATCGCCGCTGCGCGCGTGCCAGCGCGCGCAGATCGTGGGGCGGGGCCGTGAGGCTGAGGGGCGGCGAGAGCGGTTTCTGTGCTCGCGTGCGTGCGTGCGTGCGTGCGTGGGGTGTGTGCGTGGGGTGTGTGCGTGGGGCATGTCCGTGGGATGTGCGCGTGCGTGGGGTTTGTGCGTGGGGGTTGTGCGTGCGTGCGTGTGCGATAGTGTGCGATAGTGTGCGTGTGTGCGTGTGTGCGTGTGTGTGCGTGTGTGCGTGTGTGCGTGTGTGCGTGTGTGCGTGTGTGCGTGTGTGCGTGTGTGCGTGTGTGCGTGTGTGCGTGCGCGTGTGTGCGTGTGTGCGTGTGTGCGTGTGTGCGTGTGTGCGTGTGCGTGTGCGTGTGCGCGTGCGTGTGCATGTGCGTGTGCGTCTGAGAGTGCGAGTGCGTGTGCTAGAGCGTGTACGTGTGCGTGTGCGTGTGCGTCTGCGCGTTCGTGTGCGTTTGCGTGTGCGTGTGCGTGTGCGTATGCTGTGCGCGTGTTGTGTGTTGTGTGTGTGTCTCTGTGTGTGTCTGACTGTCTGTCTGTCTGTCTGCCTGTCTGTCTGTCTGTCTGTCTGCGTGCGTGCGTGCGTGCGTGCGTGCGTGCGTGCATACGTTCGTGCGTGCGTGCGTGCGTGCGTGCGTGTGTGTGTATGCGTGCGTGTGCGTGTAGTGTGGTGGGGGGGGCGTGCGTGCGTGCGTGCTTGCGTGCGTGCGCGATCGTGTGTGTGTGCGTGTGTGTGTGTGTTGTATGTGTCTGTGTGTATGTGTGTGTGGGTGTGTGAGCGTGTGAGTGTGTTCGTGTGTGAGTGTGTGTTCGTGTGGTTGTGTGATTGCGTGATTGGGTGACTGCGTGAGTGTGTGAGTGTGTGAGTGTGTGTGTGTGTGAATGTGTGATTGTGTGTTTGTGTGATTGTGTGATTGTGTGAGTGTGTGATTGTGTGGTTGTCTGATTGTGTGATTGCGTGATTATGTGATTGCGTGATTGCGTGATTGATTGACTGTGATTGGTTGATTGTGTGATTGTATGATTGTATGATTGTGTGTGTGCGTGTGTACGTGTGGGTGTACGTTGTACGTGTCTGCTGTGCGTTGTGTGTTGTGTGTGTGTGTCTGTGTGTGTGTGTGTCTGTGTGTGCTTGTGTGTGTTTATGTGTTGTGTGTGCGTGTGGGTGGGTGTGTGGGTGGGTGAGTGTGTGTATGCATGTGTGTCTGTGTGTCTGTGTGTGTTTGTGTGTGCGGGTGTGTGCGTGTGTGTCAGCTATCGTTTGACAGCGGCACCCGTGGCTCGAGGGGAACCAATCTTGCTGAGCTTCTCCGCGCGAGGGGCGGATCGGGAGCCCGTGGAGAGGCCACGACTGGAAGATGACGTGCGTGTCGTTGTCGGTTTCCAGACGCATTTGCGTGCGCTAAGGCTGCCGATCAAAAAGAATGTTGCGGTTTCTGCAGCTCGCAACATCCGGAACACTCTCGTAGGTTCTGCTTGATCACCATAACAAATTCTCCCAGTGCGACCCTACCTAGGAGTTGGAACCCCTAGGAAAGCAGCATTAGTAGTAACAGTAAAGCTAAGCTAAAGCTAAGCCACAGCTAAGCTAAAGCTAAGCTAACGCTAAGCTAAAGCTAAGCTAAAGCTAAGCTAACGTTAAGCTAAAGCTAAGCTAAAGATAAGCTAAAGCTAAGCTAAAGCTAAGCTAAAGCTGAGCAAAAGCTAAGCTAAAGCTAAGCTACAGCTAAGCTAAATCTAAGCTAAAGCTAAGCTAAAGCTAAGCTAAAGCCGACCTAAAGCTAAGCTAAGGCTAAGCTAAAGGCTAAGCTAAAGGCTAAGCTAAAGGCTAAGCTAAACGCTAAGCTAAACACTAAGCTAAACGCTAAGCTAAAGCTAAGCTAAAGCTAAGCGAAAGCTAAAGCTAAAGCTAAGCTAAAGCTAAGCTAAATCTAAACTAAAGCTAAAGCTAAAGCTAACGCTAAAGCTAAAGCTAAAGCTAAACCTCCCAGGGGACTGGGGGAACCGCTCCCAGGGGACTGGGGGAACCGCCCGGGGCGTGTAGCACTGCCCGGCCCCCTTAAGCTAAGAGAGTAAGAACCCTTCTAGGCAGAGCCTAGGTAGGGAATCAGGCTTGTCTGGAGGCTTCTCCTTAGCAGCTGCACCACCACTACAAGTGCCCTGGGCCTGGGTGAACCTTCATGGGCCTTCGCGGCCATATGATTAACGTGATTTTGACTGGAGTTCGTCCAGATTTCGACCACCCCTCTTCACCCTTAAGGCCCTTTCGTCCAGATGTCGTCCAGATTTCGCCAAGATTTCGTCCAGAGATCGACCAAATCCGACGAAGTCCCCAAAAACCGCAAGGAATTTGGGGACCCTCTGAGGCTCCCATGAAAGACCGCACAAACCATCGTTCGAAACACGACACATAATCCGCGACACCTTCCATATGAATATGCGGCCGAACGACGGCTGTAGCTGCTCCGCGCTGTACACGGAGGAACAGGACAACCGGCAGCTTTGTCACTAATGCACCGGAGCTGTCTGACCAGGACAAGAGTCGGGGGCGCGCAAGCATGGATTAGCGATCCATGGATATGGCGCGCGGTCGCCAAAACCATGCATCGGGGGAGGTTTCTCCCCAACACGCGGCCAGTGCCGCCTCGCTCGGCGGCGGAAACCCGCGATCTCCCGTGTAAACGGGACCCGTCGCTAATCCACGCCCTCTTGATCTATGCTTAGGGGAACAAAAAGTGACATAAACATAAAAACTCGGAGGACCGCGCGGATTTCTCGGATCGGCGCCGGGGCCCCCCGGCGGCGCCTCCGGCGCCGCCCCGCGCCGATCCGAGAAATCCGCGCGGACCTCCGAGTTTCTATGTCCATGCCACTTTTTGTTCCCCTAATGCTTGGGATCGCCTGAGAGCGAGGGGACGTCCTACCCTACAGGACCACGCGACCCGGCCGATGCCCCCCTCGGTGCCCCTTTTTGTTCGGGAGCCTCGCGTGCCCCTCCCGACCACACACCAGGCCACCCCAACACCCAACCCGAAGACCCGAACTTCGGGCTGGGGGGGTACGGGTTCCACACGTGTTTGTCAGATGCTCCCCACTGGGAATGACGAACGGACAACACACACCCATACCCACGGGGGGGTCGGCGGGAGGAGGACTTGCTATGGGTATGGGTGCGGGTTGTCGGACCATGGGGGAGTCTCCCGTTCGAGCGGGAAGCCCCGTCCGACAACACGCACCCATAGCCATAGCCCCCTCCGTCCTACCTATGGGTGTGGGTGCGTGTTGTTCGCTCGTCATGGAAATGGAGGGCAAATCGGGACCTTCGGGTTGGATTCTGGGAAGCCAAAAGGCACCGATACCGCTACTCCCTGGACCTCTCCCGGGGTGCGTTCTGACCAAGATTCCGGTGCGAATCCAGCGGTGGCGGCGAGGGCTTCCCGGGAGGCCACAGATAGGGAAAGGCGAGGCAAGGCCAGCGATGTGGGTATCGTTTCCCTGTTCTGAGGGTTGGGGTGGTTTTTGGTGGGCGGTGACCTCCCCTGCGTGCCCGCTCGCCCACACGAGCCCCAGCGGATCCCGTGGCCGCGGGCCGCGGCCAGAGGCCCCCGGCTCCCGCAGGCGTGCCCACCCGCGGCCCCGCGGCCCTCGCTGCGCCGGCGGTGCCTCCCGGCGGCGTCCTTCCGGCCCCCCTCTGCACGACGAGGCCAGCCTTAGGTCGGGCCTGTCAGGGAATTTCAGACGAAAGATTAAAAATATTAGAAAAAAACGCAATGCTCAAAAAACACTCAAAACGTCGTCCCCAGACTATGAGTGGCCTATTTTTGAATATTCCCCTGGAAAGGGACAGGCCCGACTTGAGGCCAGCCCGAGGGATCCCAGCTTCGCGCTGCGCGCTGCGCGAAGCGCGAAGTGCGAAAAGAGCTTCGCGCTCTCGCGCCGCCTCCCAGGGGAGAGGAGGCATCGGAGCCGAAGCGCGAGGCGCGAAGCGCGAACAACTTCGCGCCCTCGAGGGCGCCCTTGCAGCCTGAGGGCCAAGCTGGCGGTGCCCTGCCCCCAGACCGAGAGGCCACGGGGCCAGCGCTCCAGTGGAGCAGCGTGGTCCGGCAGTCCGCAAGTGTTCCCTGGGCGGAAGCGTCTCTGGAGTGATGCTCTTCACCGACGCCCTGCCGCCAAGTGGGCCCACTGCCGAGGCTCCATGTCTGGGATCCCTTTTGTCCCTTGCGCGTGCCCGCTGGGGTGCCGCGCCAGCCACCGCGTGGATGGGGCCAGGATGGGATCGGGATCAGATGGGGTTCGCTCTTGGGGAACAGGCCAGACTGGACGTCGTGCGAAACTGCTCTAGCCCAACAAGCCAACCCAGCAGGAGAAGTACCTTGCCCGCGCGCGCGCGTGCGAAAGCCTGCGGGCTGAGGCGAAAGCCCATGATTTAGGACATAAGACCCGTCGTGCGGGCAAGTGTGAGTGCGGTGAACTTGACATCGTACGCCATCGATTGTACACGTGCACGTTTGCCCCTGTCGATACCGCTCGCGAACAAGCGGGTGCCAGGGAAACGTTCTCTTCAACAGTGGGACCGGTTTTTGCGTGAAGTGTTCGATATCTCTCCGAAGGAACGCGGCCCAGTCGCCGAAGTCCTCAATGGAGGCGGAGAGGTTACGCCAGAACTCGACGCCGAGCAGGCTATGCAGTACGCTTGCCAGGCCTCTCAGCTAAGTCTTGCTGTTGATGGGACAAGCTACCAAACGCCCATCTCAGTGTTTCCAGCGTGCGTCCTGCGCGGTAGTTGTTGCTCATGAATGTGGGGAGTTCCGTAGCGCAGTCCGTAGAAACATTCCAGGAGGACGCCCCCAGACCCCAGCCACGGCCAACAACTTTGCCATCGCGGTTGCCGGTGAGATAGCCGATCGCGCCACCAAGGCGTATGCAGACTGGCAGACAGCTACAGCTCAGGCCGCTCTGCAGCAGCACGCGCAACTTTGTGATTTCAAGCCGTTTGCGGGGGTGTCGGGCTTTGTTCCTGGCTCATCG